TATAGAAGCACCAAAATAAAAGTCGTCATCACAATCTCGTGCGTGGCTCATGATGCATTTGGGCTTTGGCCCACACTACAAACAAAAATCCGTTGAAATTTGTACAAGAAAAACAGTTTACTTTTTGCCTCTCCAAAAATATCTTTATTTATTAATAACAAACTAATTTAGTATTATTATTTTTAATCCAATTTTAAACCAAATTTATTGAGACAATTTTAGTTGTATTTTTTTATTTTTTTCTAAATTCAATAGAAGCAAAAGTAAAAGCTCTATGGAACTGCTGACACCTAATTAAATACTCAAAGTTTAATATGATAATGATTAATTCGAGAAAGAACGAGCATCTTTGTTAGTACCGAAGCTCTATAAATAAATAATATCCACAGCGATAACGATAATACCCATCGATAAAAATCACAAAAGTAGCTGCCAAAAAAATGAAAAATCACGAAAACTATAATATATACACATTTTATATAAAAAAGAAAAAAATATGCACTAAATTCTAAGCGTTGTGCATTTATCACTCCTGGCACTGTCGATGCCTACAATCACGAGACTCATAACAACAACCACCTTCAAAATCTCGGGTTCTCGGGTCCGGTTCAATTCCGGTTTTTGACCCGAACCTGTTTCCGTCTTCTTCTCAACGGTTATGCTTCTGAAGTGATATCACCACTCTCTCTCGTCTGAACCTGAATTTTCAACCCGACCCGACTCCAACTTCGTTTTCGGATCCGAAAGGATCTCCACCGGTCATGGATTACTCTACGGCTACGACGACGGCGGGGAACGGTTACAGTTCGCCGCGTGACTCTTCTTTCCCTTCGAGCTTCACTAAGTTCAACTCCGCTTTAACGGCAGGTCTTCTAAATCCAATGTCTCCTCCTCCGCCTCCGGCGATGCACGACAAGACACGATCAAGTCCGACGCTGTTCGAAATGATGGCTAGTGAAGCTGATACCATAGGGAAAGTTCCAGTTCAGATCCATAACGGTGTGCTTCCATCTCCGTCGTCGTCTTCATCGTCTTCTTCTGCGGCGGCTACGGCTGCGAGGACGACGAATGTGAATCATCTTGTTATTTCAGCTCAGGATAAGCAAGCGCTTGCGATGCAACGGATTTCGGATCTTCTGGTGATTCGGAGCCCCGGGAATCAGTTCAATGACCCGAATTCGAGTGATGTGAAGCTGACTCTGAGCTCTAAAGATGGGATTAGTATCACCATGTGTGTTCATAGGCAGATTCTTGTAGCTCACAGTAGGTTTTTCGCTATGAAATTGTCGGATCGATGGTCTAAACAGCAGCTGCCGCCGTCGTCTTCTCCGTACATTGTTGAGATCTCAGATTGTGATGACGTTGAGGTGTATATTGAGACGTTGATGCTGATGTACTGCAGAGATCTAAGGAAGAAGATGATGAGACATGATGTTTCTAGGGTTCTTGGTATTTTGAAGGTAGTGTGAGAAATACTCAAAAGTCTCCATTGTGAATACTCTTCTGTTAAATATTTGCAATCACATTGTCAATTTCAGTTTGCCATTGTTGTCCTCTCAGGTTTCAGCAGCAATTGGGTTTGATGCTGGAGTGCTTTCATGTCTGGAGTACTTGGAAGCAGCACCATGGTCAGAGGATGAAGAATACAGGATTGCTTCTTTGTTGTCTGAGCTACACCTTGAAAACGTTGGGGCAACTGAAGTTTTGAGAAGAGTTTCTGTAGAAGCTAGCAATGGGAATAACGGGAGTAACGGTGGGAGCAATGACGAGGTGCTTTTGAATCTTTTGCATATTGTTCTTGAGGGAAAAGATGAGAAAGCAAGGCGTGATATGAAAACACTTGTTTCCAAAATGCTTAGAGAGAACTCGTCTGGAAATGATCTTAGGAAAGAGTCGTTGTACTTGGCTTGTGATGGGTGTTTGCATAAGCTTAAGCGGCAGTTTCTACAAGCAGCAGAGTCGGATTTGGAGAATGTTGACCAGATAGCAAGACAAGCGGATAATCTGCATTGGATTTTGGATATTTTGATAGATAGACAAATCGCAGAGGATTTTATTGTGATGTGGGCTTCTCTTTCTGAGCTATCCGAGGTACATTCTAAGGTCCCTGTTGTTCACAGGTTTGAGATTAGCAGAGTAACAGCGAGGATCTTTGTTGGAATTGGAAAGGGACAAATTCTGACACCGAAAGAAGTGAGGTGTTTGCTGCTGAGGAATTGGTTGACACCTTTCTATGATGATTTTGGGTGGATGAGGAGAGCTTCGAAAGGGCTTGATCGGTATTTAATCGAGGATGGTTTAAGCAATACCATTCTGACTCTTCCTCTTGCTTGGCAACAAGAGTTTTTCCTAGCTTGGTTTGATCGGTTCTTGAACTCTAATGAAGACTGTCCTAATATCCAGAGAGGGTTCGAAGTTTGGTGGAGACGGGCGTTTTGGAGACGGAAAGAACAGAGTCAAGAGCCTGCTCGGCTAAGAGTCACCGCTTCAGCCACTGAAAACTCCTAAGAGATCTCTCAGGTCTGTTTAACCTTGTGTCTATTCCCCGGCTACCTTTGCGCTGTTTCTTGAGGATCAAACAATGAGGAAGCATATGAATCTTAATTCAAAAGAGAAGGCAATGATGAATGGAGATGTGTTAGATTTTTCGGATTTTATTACCTCGACCACGGTTAGAATTAGTATGATACAAGTTTTGCATGAACTTGATCGTTTGAAAGTAGTTTTCATCTTGATGAGTCGGAGCTCCTTTTTGTACATCTCTCTGAAATTTTCTTCATCTCCAATGTCTTAGAAGAAGGAACTTTTCAAGTTTAACCCGTATCTATGCTCTCTACTTTTGGTACGGTTTTGATTGAGATTCTAATATTGGTAGGTTTAGCACACAATAGATTACGGTCTTGTGTGGGCGTTTTCTTCGTCAAAGTGCAAACCAAGATGCCATCCATATTTTGACGGCTTAAAAGTCCAGTTCTGTGATTGCTTGTATACTATATATTCGATGCTTTGGAGATTTTACATCATGATTTAGGGTATCAGGTCTTCTCTCGACCTTAATGTCTTCGTCCAACAACACTTATCAGTTATATGTATCAAGATCAGTAGTGATCTGAAACAAAATTAAAAGGTTAAGAGAGATTTGAATGTGCCAAGCTCTTAGTTGATCTATTTGGGAAGATAAATTTGAATTTCTGCAAAGAATTACCAAGTATATGAGTTTGATTAAACTAAACTCCCTAGTCCAGAGATTCCTGCTAACCAATTTCTATAGTAGAGTAACCATGTATTATTACAATGAAGTAAATGTTATACCTCTTTGATCTCTGGTTATTATCCACTTAGATGGTTGTTACAGTCTAAAGCTGCTGATTTTCATTTTGGGAACTCAATACGATCTCAACCAACTGAATGTTTCCACTAAGTACAGATGCCTTTTGAGAGGGCAAGAATGAGAAGCCATCCAGAAGTTTAACACACTTTAGTCCCCATTTTACCATCAAGAACTCGATTAGATGATGCCCACTGCAAAATCAAAACTGAACAAATGAAATCCGGAAGAAATCGTCACCCTAAATCTGTTGCGGATATATATAATAGACGACCGGGAAGAATGAAAGAAGAAGAATTCGTGTACCTCCTGTTGTGATAAGTGGTAATAAAAACTGCATCAGGAGAACTTTGGAGAAGAAATGAGACAGTCGCAAAGAGATCATCAAATGCTTAACAACAGAGGTGTCCAAGTTCAGATTTTCAACTCATTCACAAGGGGAAAAAGAAAAGGCCAATACCCAAAACAAAAACAAATGAAACGAACCACTTGAATCATATAAAACATCAGCCCCAAGTATAATGTTTGGTCGCAGGTCGAGTATCGGTGCATCCCACACACCCCAGGTGAGACCCAACACCTACAATAGACAACCACAGAGAAGTTCTAGAAGCAAACTCTCAAGAATTTCAAATGTAAATAGCAATCAACCCAACAACCTTCGTGAATTACATATGCAACATATAATGATCCGGGTAAATGATAAATTTGGCGTTGTTAAATTGAAGAGAGGTGAAGATAGTTTATATTACATTACAGTTCAGCTTGTTAAGCTCACAGACTCTTCTCATATTATCCAAAACCTGCATATATATATGATACAAACGAACTAAATAAGCTCATATTCTCTAAACCCAAATAGCAAAAATCTTCTCAACACAAGAACTTAAATTTCACACCTCTGGTTTAGTTGCATCATCAGTAAGAGTGACATTAGCCCCAACCTTTGCAGCTACTAAACCAGGCAAGGAAGTACCAGCTCCTAGCTGTAAATTCCATCAACACAAGTCTAAGAAAATGTTAAAAAGGTCCTAACATATTTAAGATTCATTAGCTCAAACACACATATCCCAATTCTGTAATCAATTCAAAATCAAGGGATTTTAGCAAAGAGTAGTTGAAATAGAAATTAACCTCGAGTATCGAAGAATCACGAAATCGAGATCTGTGTTGCCAAACATACTCAGCGAGGATAACGCTACAAGGCCAAACAAACAATCCATACTCTTCCTTCAAATTCTACACACACACACAAATCACAAACAAACGATGGAAAAAACAAAACGCGAAAGAAGAAAGCTCGATTAGAAATCGCCATTGTTTACCAGTGAGAGCTTAATACCTCAATAATAGAAATGCAAGTTTCCGAATCTCCAGCACCATAGAAGTTATGCTGAGAAATCGTCGTCGTCGTAGTAGTCATCATTTCAAAAAGTTTCTCTGTCAACAGAAATCGTAATCGTCATACTGAAAAATCGTCGTCTTGTTGGGCCGTTGTAATTTTTACCAGGCCTAAGCCCATTTTCGGTAGGCTAATTAGGGTTTTGAAAAACTGAAGAAGAGATATTTGTCCCACATCGGTTAGAAGAGACGGGAGGGATATGATTAGTTGGCTATAAAAAAGATTAAAGGTGGTGCAATGAATAAATATGATCCTTCAGGCAAGTTAAAGGGGAAATGAGGAGTGGTTATTAAACTCGCTTAATGCGAGAAGAGTGTTTCGCTCAGCCTGTTACGACTATTGAGCACTCTCCTTCTTTTATCATCTGATCCCTCTCCTGAATTCGATCACTTGTTTTTAAAATCAAAGCGATTTTTTTCTCCTTTTTTAGTTTTTTTTTTAAAGGATTTTATTTTTAAAAATAAAAATCGACCCATAAAAGTGTTTAAAATGGTTTTTTATTTTCATTAAATATTTGTGTTTCCGTAATTATTTTTCGTTGATTTTTTTGTTTTGTTTTACCGTGAATGCCTTATCTTTTTAAAGAGACATACAAAAATACACAAAAGGGAAAGCCTAACAAAGTAATCTAGTAAGTGCGTTTTACAGAAAATTGGTCGCTTATTCGGCTGCTTTTAATTAAGGTCTCAGTCGTGGAAAAAAAAAGAAGGCTGCTTTTTAAGGTGGCAGGACCGCAGGAACAATCTCAGGTGGGAGATTGAGGTGAGTCTTGAGGAAGTTAATGCCTTCATTGTTAAGGAACCAGTAGTAATGTACCCAAGTAAAAGTCTCTTTGACATACTCCTTTGACAAAAAGCTCTTCATAAGCTTAATCACCTGCAGGATTCGGAACACTCGATCAAGGGATGTTGTGGCAAATTCAAGTCCTCTTTTAGCATACAAAACTTTCTCGAAATAAAAGTAACATTTCTAAGTAATCCTAGTGAATCACATTGTTCTTGCTAACTATGTTCAAAGTAAGTAAGGCATCGAATTCAGAAACAGCTAAAGTTAAAACGATGGGCTAAGTACAAGAGATTCAGAATATCTACGTACTGTATCTGATTACACGTATACAGATCAAAGTTAAGACGATTCGCAAACAAAATAAAAAGAGTTGTACCTTTGAAGAGGTGGTATTTGGAGATCTCGCGGCGATTCTTCTCTGAGATAATCTGCAAGCACGAGAAAATCATCATATCATTATTCATTTCTGTTCGAGTTAATAGCAAGAAAATAATTCAATGTTTCAGAGGAAGAATTCACCATGATTGCGAAGGAGATTGCTCGTGCGTTTGTCTGGGTATGGCACTTGCTCTCTCCTTCGACTTTGGGAGTCACAGATTAGTATTACTCCATTTGTAGTCTTCAGAGGCTTCTTCGCTGTGTTCAAACTCATTTTCGTCTTCAGAGGCTTGTTCTGATCCAGATTCATAGCTCTCTTCTTCAGACACTTGGTCTGATCCAGCTTCATAGCTCTCTTGGATGCTCTCTTCATAGTTCTCTTCTTGGATGCTGTCTTCTTCGGACGCTTGTTCTGATCCAGATTCATAGCTCCCTTCGATGCTATCTTCTTCGGAAGCTTGGTGGTCTGATCCAGATCCATAGTTCTCTTCGATGCTATCTTCTTCGGAGGCTTGGTCTGATCCAGACTCATAGTTATCTTCAATGCTCTCTTCTTCAATCAATCTGGCACCACATTCAATAATCTCGAAGTTATCGTTTACGCTGCGTAATTCGAAAAACAACTCTCTGCTCAACGCTGGAGATTGGTGGTCTAATCTTTCAAAGTGATAGTGAATTATCAGTAAATGTTTTGTTCGAGATTTGATGGCCTTGACTAAGTAGTACCCCTTTTCATCAGGAAATGATTTGATAAGTAGTCCGGAATGAAATTTTTCTGTGATTTGGTGGTTAGGGGAAATCACGACGCAAAACCCAACGCCACGGTAAGACCTTTTCCTTTCGAGAGGAATGGTCAAGGTATTTTCTCTTCCTCGGTGATCGAACTCTGCTGGCACTTCTCTTCCAGGTAAGAGCGTTGTCCCGTGAAAAAATGGCCGTTGGATAATTGCTCTTCTTGCTTCTTGGTCCAATTTGAAACAGTTGGTGAATTCGAAAATGTTGAAGGGCCAACATTTTGATGTCTTGAAAGGGCAAAATACGGTCTCCAGTGATTCACAATCGTCTGCGACTAGGAACTTGAGCGAAGCAGGGAGCTCTGGCAATGATGTGAGTCTTCTGCATCCAGATATAGTTAGGCTTTTAAGCAAATAACGATCTTTGATGCAATTTGGAATCCTTTCGATACCAGAGTAGCTTAGGTCTAGAAATTCGACAGGCCTTGGGAGATGTGTTAAACCCCTTAACTTTGCGCTGCTGTTTATCGAGAGATGCGTAACATGATGCCAAGACGTAATTGATGCAGACACATCTTCAACAGCTGTTTCCGATATATTTAGAAAGTAGAGTCTCGTTGACATAACTGGAATATTTCTCAATCTTGAGCATCCTCTCATATCTAAGTCGTAAAGAAATTCCAAGTTCATGTCAGCTGGAATGACTTCCAGACTTATGCACCCCCTCAGCCGCAACTTCTCTAATCTTTGAAGATGCGAAAAAGAGGATGAAATCTCCACCAAACTCTTGCAATCACTCAGTTTCAATATCTCCATCTTTGTAGCATTTGAAAGATTTGGGAGTGCCTTCAAATTGGAGGACCCTTTTAAATTCATCTCCTTGAGATTCTTTAGCGGCTGAATATGCAAGAAAGACACAGATTAACAGAGAGAAAGGGCATCATATAACTTGATGAGAAAGTAGGATACAAAATTCATATATTAAAAAGTACAACACCAACCTGGGTTCCTTGCCAGAGGTACTCGAGCTTGCTATTCTTCATAACAAGTTCCACAAGATATTCCGGATGGAATTTGGGAGGAAAACACTTGTTTGGGTATGCTTCCCATTTTAGTATCCTAAGTCGACGTGGGAACTCCATCCTCTTTGGTATATCCATTATATCATTCCCATCATCTTTACTTTTGTATACTGTGAGGAACCGAAGATTAGACATTCTTCTAAAAGCTCCCTCTCTGATATAGACTTCATCGATACCAGATATATCAAATAATATGGCAGACACGTATCTGGTATCCTAAACAAATATTCCAAATAAAAAATATTGTCAGCACGATAGTAGTTTATCTTCACCTGATGACTTGTTTAAAGTATGTTAATTGACAAGAATAGAGCAAAGAGTTTACTGTGTCATTTTCGAGGACATAACAAATCTCACGAGCATCCATTAAGATTTGGCGTTTCAAAGGCTCTTGTTTTTGAATGGCTTTTTTACCCACTTGTTGTAGTAATCTGTGCATCACTATTCTACTACTAAAAGATATCTCTATGAGAGATCTATTCTCAAGGATTTTTAACGCACGTTTGAAATCCAAGTCACCGTCAGCGAACAAGCGTTCCACAAGATGAACATACTGATTGTTGAAGAAGATTGCAATATGGAGAAATAGCGTTTTCTCATTGTCATCTAAACTCTCATAACCAACTCTTAGTACTTCCTCGATATCACGATCAATATTATTTTCTAGGCTGCAGATTACTTCTTCCCATCCTTCTTCATTCTTCCCACGTAAAGATGAACCCACCATACGGAGACCCAATGGAAGTTTACCACAAAGCTGTGTTACTCTTAATGCAAGCCATTGAAAACCCTTTTGTGGATAGCTTTTCCTAAAAGCATATATACATAAGATCTCGAGAGCTTGTTCATAGGATGGAAAACCCACCTGGTATATATCATCGATACCATGTTGCTGCAGAAGCTCTTTGTTTTCTGTGGTAACTACGATCCTGCTTCTTGGACCAAACCATGTAGTTTTATTTGCCAACGCCTCTAATTGCTTTATATGGTCCACATCATCAAGAATGATGAGCACTCTCAGCTTGCATAGCCTTTCTTCTATCACACCTGAATGGTTTATCCTAATACCATCTTGGTTCAAAACATTTGAAAGAAATTGTTCTTGTAAACGCAACTCATCTAGACCACTAAGATAGCTTCCCCTTAGATTGTCGACAAAACAAGTAAGCTGAAACCTATTAGAGAATCGACTCTGCAGAGCTTTGGCTATGGTTGTCTTACCAATCCCTGCAGGACCAGAGATTCCAACCATCTTAACTCCATCATAATCTAAATCTAGCAAAGACTCCATTTCTGTCAAATGAGCTTCAAGTCCCACCATGCCGTCAAAATCCCTAGAAGGTGTAGCATTCAGTTTATTTGAAACATCTCTGGCGATCTTCTCTATCCTTTTGGCTTCATTATCACTAACAAAGGCGAAAGAAATGAAAATCATTATTTCCACCAAATAGTCACAGAGATAATATTCCTCTGTTTCAGTATGTATTTCTATTTTCTAGCATTCAGTAATCAACAAAAATATTCCCTTATTCATTTTAATTCGAGTAACCGTATTTCCTCCTATTCATCATAAAACAACACTAACTAAATGTTAAAGGTTTTCTCTGGTGATTACAGCTTAACAGAACCTAAAAGTTAAAAACTCAGATTAAAATAAAGACTAACCATCTTAAGAAGTCTTCTCCAGCAATATTGGCCACTTCGTTCAAAGCTTTGCTCCATTTTTGTCTTTCCTCGTCCGTCTTACGTGCACAAGTTTCATTGAAAGCGATCCCGAATTCTCCGGTCTGGTTCCGTACCTCAAATGGCTCCACTCCATAGAAGACGGTCATTACTATCTGTTTCATAGCTTTTTTGCGCTTTAAGATATCCACCAATTCGTCCAAACACCAGCTTGACGATGCATATTTCTTGGAGAGAATCACGATCGAGATCCTCGATTCTTTGATAGCCTTTTTGAGTGAAGGGGCGATCTCTTCACTTCTCTCAATCCCTTGATCATCAAACATAGTGATGCCGTTGAAGTCAAACTGTTTGCGCATGTGACTAAGAAGTGTTTTACGGACATCCGGTCCGTGAAAGCTCGGGAAGACATTGTATTTGTAGTTGCAAGAGGAAGAAGAAGCCAATAGAGACATGCTCAGAGCCAGAGAGATGGAAAAATGGGTAATGAGAATTGGAAGATAAGTAAAAAAATAAAAAAAATATCAGATATTTGAAATTAATGCGTCTTTTGGAAACTATATAAAATCAAAACAACAAAAAGGTGGTCCTCTCTTTCTGTATGACTTATGACGAACGCGTTATGAAGTCAACGAAATAATAATGCATGGACAAGGGGTACTGAGAAGTGGAAGATAAGTCTGTATCAAATATTTCGAAGCCATTGTGT